TTGGAAAAGTCATGCATATATCAGATGCAAAAGATGATGTCTGTTGGATCGAATAACTCAATTCTTGGTACTAAAACTTACTTGAATGATCGGTTTGACAGTAGTAGAGCAGCGGAAACAATATTAATCAAACAGGTAGAAACAGTAAGAACACAATGAAGAACAAATAAAGAACACAAAGAGAATTGCTTCAAATGATTTTCAATTGATTGAAAATATCGACGATTACAAATCTGGAAGCACACGAAATACAAAGGCCTACACTGCTATTTATACAAGCAAATAACCGTTTCCTGACATGACCTAAAGCAAATAAATCTAAGCCGTTCATCTGAAACAGATTACAGACAAGATCACGTGGAAGACACGAGCAGCTAAAAGACCTAAGTAAAACTAGCTAAAGATAATCTACACAGAAGACTAGCTGCAGATCCTCTGTGAAACATCACAAAGGCTCTGCTGGATATGACTTGAAGCGTATGTAGCAGAGGAACATCTTTCAGAACCTCTGTGAGACAAGACAGAGGTTCTGTCGTCTTTGTCTTGTAACATTGTCTTGGCAGAGGACAAGAACAAGTTTCCAGAACCTCTGTGGATGAAGACAGAGGTTCTGTCACTTTAACYTTGTACAAAAGAGCTTCTTCTGATGATTGTCCTCTGAGGTCTTCTGTAACAGATCAGCTTCTGTCAATACTTGCTGTTTTACTTTTTCTATACTTTTATATTAAAGGAATGAGAGCTAACAATCTCCCCCTAAGTATGAAAAAGTAAATTAAGCTATTATGTGCAAGAACATGACTTGATTGAAAGGGATTACGAGAGGAGATTAAACATCATCCTTGAAATGAATTGACTGAAAAGAAATTACAAAACGTAAAAGATAGAGTTCGATATAGGCCATATACTTTTACAGAGGTTTAACCAACTTCAGATTCTGGGAAGTCATCTACTGGATAGGTCAAATCTGACTTGATGGTTTTGTAGACTTCAAACATCCATTCTCTGAAGTTGATTTGAATTTTGATTGACTCCAAGACTTTTGACACTTCATTCAACTTTAGATGCCCTTTGTCCAGTTCTGCCGCTGCCTTTCTAAAGATCCATTCAAGTGTCTCTGTCGAAAACTTATGTGTCTCTGTTGGATCATGATTGCGTTGGATTTCGTCTTTGTCCAAAAACACAAATCCATAAATGGGGTTGTGAATGATGGTGTTTGGTGAATGCCTATGAATCCAACTTGGCNCGTTCATCTGAAACAGATTACAGACAAGATCACGTGGAAGACACGAGCAGCTAAAAGACCTAAGTAAAACTAGCTAAAGATAATCTACACAGAAGATTAGCTGCAGACCCTCTGTGAAACATCACAGAGGCTCTGCTGGAAATGACTTGAAGCGTATGTAGCAGAGGAACATCTTCCAGAACCTCTGTGAGACACGACAGAGGTTCTGTTGTCTTTGTCTTGTAACATTGTCTTRGCAGAGGACAAGTTTCCAGAACCTCTGTGGATGAAGACAGAGGTTCTGTTACTTTAACCTTGTACAAAAGAGCTTCTTCTGATGATTGTCCTCTGAGGTCTTCTGTAACAGATCAGCTTCTGTCAGTACTTGTTCTTTTACTTTTTCTATACTTTTACATTAAAGGAATGAGAGCTAACATAGACCCTTACGGGACCAACACTGTATTCCTGATAAAAGTGTTTAAAGATGAGTTATGTGGAACCTGAATGGTTCTAGCCTATTTTTGATTATTTAACTGCTTATAAGTCAGAGATTGGTTTGGGAATCAGCGGGGCACTGGTAGATGTGAATTACATGGTTATGTATCTTTTTATATGAAAAGTTGATTTCAAATAAAGTTTTGGTGATCTTCAACATAATGGCCGTACCGGGTCCTAAATGCAGTCTTGGGGATGTCCTCTTCACGGACTCTCATTTGATGATATCCAGATCGAAGATCAATCTTTGAAAAGTATACGGCACCTTGAAGTTGATCGAATAAATCATCGATTCGAGGAAGAGGGTATCGATTCTTAATGGTCAACTTATTAAGCTCCCTATAATCGATGCACATTCGCATTGACCCAACTTTCTTTTTAACAAACAGGACTGGTGCTCCCCATGGTGAAAAACTAGGTCTTATGAATCCTTTATCCAACAATTCTTGGAGTTGCCCCGACATTTCTAGCATTTCCGATGGGGTCAATCGATATGGTGATTTTGCCACCAGGGCAGCTCCTGTAATTAAGTCGATACCGAATTCGACTTGTCTTGGCGGGGGTAGTCCTAGTAAATCTTCGGGGAATACTTCAGAAAACTCTCGAACTACAAGGAAATCTTCAATGCGTCTCTCTTTGGGCTTTTTGTCTATAACATGTGCCAAAAATGCAACGTATTTTGAGTTTAAAGTCCTTTGCACATAAAATTACAATTTGGACAGAAAGTTAATTCTGTTTCTGGAATTTTTGGTCTCACAAATCATTGTCAAAAGGTACCTTCCATAATTCATTTTGTGTCCAAATTGTTATACCATAAATGTCACTGTGTTAAACACATTTTGTCCAAATTTCACACATTTTGGAATTTTTTTAGTCATTCAAATGTCCAACACATTTTTACATGTCAAAACAATCTGGATAGCTTGCACCATGTCAAATTTGTGGTCAAATGGAATGTCTAAACTTAATGTTTTTCAATGATTGTACTTGAATTGTAAACTTAACTCATAAATGAAACTTTCAAAAGAAGAATTACACATTTTTATTAATTTTTGAGAGATTTATGCTACTTTGAACATGCATGTACGTTTCTGTCCAGCAAAATCGTTTTGCACCATAATTTTATATCAAGAATTTAAATGCTCAAAACTCAATATGTTTTTAGTGAGCCTAAAAACATAAGAACAACAACTCATCAAAGTAAACTCCAGAAGAAAAATCAAATATTTTGGACAAGTTTTAAGGAGCTATGTATGTTCAAAGTAGGGTTTACCTACTGTTGAAGATAATGTTGCACACTTAATTTGTTTTAAGTGTTTGGGGGGGGGGGTCAAAACTCCTCCTTTTAGCATGATTCCAGTTGGAACAGAACCCTAACTCAACGAAGTATATTTAAAAAAAAATCATAGCATTTGGACTTTTATTTTGGGAGATATGGACGACACAAGTGTTAGTAAGCAATCTGTCAGCTCCAAAATGCCTCTTTTTATGGTTAAAATCCACATGTAATGTTGTTTTACCCCATTTTCTTGAGTTCTAAGTTCGTAGATCATAGATTATCACCATTTTGAAGACATTTTCATGTCTTTGGTGTATAATCTCCCATCTTAGATCCTCCAGAAATTTTGAGTCCAAAAACAAGAAGAAAAAGTAGCGAAAAGATGAGAAAAAAAAGGTTTAAAATCACTAAAATAATGAGCTAACTTTATACCTTTGCTTGCTACTACTTGAATCCTTCAATGTTCTAAAAAAATGACAGGATTTAAGGGGTTTAGAGACTGAATTCGGCTGGGAAGATGAAAGGTTATTTTGAGAGTGAGTTTCTTGAGAGGAAAGCATGCAAGTGATTTCAAATGGGAAATACAAAGAGACACTTGAGTTTTTATATGTGGGTCATGGGAGGATCATGAGGGGCCACCCTCTACAAAGCCCAAACCAACTTATATTATTATTATTTTTAGAATAAAGCTCATTTAAATGTTAGTATAAATGCTAAAAACTGATAAAAATATCAATATTAGGTCAAAATCCTTAATTTTTGTAAAATTATTGGGACTTTCAAATTGGATTTTTATATTTTAATTTGGACTATATAATATCAACTTTATTATGTTTGGAGAATTTTTAATGTATTTGGCATTACATAAGTTAACTTTATCAGTTACCTGTGGAAAAAGAGTTTTCTAAACTATTTTTTTTTTGGGAAACTAAGCAGATGAGTTCTAATCAACTTGACTAAACCCTAATAAAATATATTTCTAAATATAGAAACCCTATATGAATGCTAACCTAAAACTCCAAAACTGATGGATGTCACAAAAATATTGTGTCAGTGTCGATGGCAATTCATAATTATATTAGAATGAATGAAAGTTTTGACGAAGCATTTGGCATGGCGCAACAAGAGAACCCTCATATTGATGTTGATGATGAAGGATGTGGTAGCAATAATGAAGCACATGAAAAAACAAGTTCACGTCGTAGGAGTGACGATCTATATATGAATACGGTAAGAGATATGATTGCAGGAGATCTAATAGGTGGATTCAGATGAATATTTATTATAAATGACTATAAATATCTCATTATAAATGACGATCTAATATTCTTTTGTTGTACAAATCTATTTTTTTTGGTCATAAATTATTAATGGTATTAGTATAAATGTTTGTTAATTATTAATCTTATTGATATAAATTTTTGTCAAAGATATTATTATAAATGATAAAAAATAAATTTTTATATGTTAAAAAATCAAATAAGTTAATAAGCAATCCCAAACACTCCCATAAGCCAATAATATGGAATACCGTCCTTTTTGGTCATTTTACATATATAAACAAAATCTTGTCAAACACTAAAAAACAACTTATCAACTTATTGCTTTTTGATACCGCTATAAGCTAATCCAAACATTTTTTACAGAACTCCGGTTTAATACCACATAAGTTAGTAAACACTTTCATCAAAAAAACATAATTTTAAATAAGCAATCCAAAAACACCCCTTTAAAGTTCAATCACTTACCAGTCAAGCCGCTAATTGTATGACCATTATTCCAAACCACTATTAGATCAACGATATTTACTCCGCTATATTGCCACAATTCCAAACCAATGTTAGATCAACGATATTTACTCCGCTATATTGCCACAATTATCAGCATAGGTAACAACAATATTAATTCACATGATGTTATAAAAATAGTAGTTAATATATAAAACAAAAAAATAGTTAATATTAAAAAAAACACATACCGAACCGAACAGATCCTAAAAAAGGTTATATCCAATCATTGTTCTTTACCTAGAGACCGGGGTGGACCTAATACAAGGGACGTTGACAGTTACAAGTTGATGTCCGCTCTATATCTGTTACACATTTTGGGACCGAAACTCAAATAATGCAATTATTATACTAGTTATAATGTAGTCCTAAACTACAAGAAGTACAACATTTCCTCATAGATCTTCTAATACAATTCTTTCCAAATTTGAAACAAATCTTTCCATCAACATACTTCGACTACGTTGTTTTTCCACCAATTTCCTCAATTCTTCATTCTCATCTTCAAGTCTCTTCTTCAATTCAAGATTTTCTTTTTTAAGATCCTCAATCACTTTCGATTCCTCATCCTTCCACAAACACAACCCATTTTCCGTTTCACATAACAAGTATAAAAACCCAAAAATTGCAACGTATTTTGGTCAAATTCCTATTTTGTATAATCTACTGTTGAGTTACCAAAACTGAAGGTTTTGAGATCAAATTACGTTGCATTTTACAATACAATTTGCTTGATATTAAACTTACATCACTTATGACGAGGATCTTGGATTTTTCTTGCGAATGTTGTTCTTCACCGTGCACTCCAACTATTCTACTAGCTCTTTTGCTGGCTACATCAATCGGATGTTTCTTAGTTCCTGGTCCAGTTCTTAAAATTGATTCTGATTCTTCTTCCCTGTGTTCTTTAACCATTCTGATGGGTTTTTCACTTGCTACATCAATCGGATGCTTTATAGTTCCAGGTCCAGTTCTCAAAATTGCTTCTTCTTCTTCTTCTTCTTCTTCTGGAACCATTCTAATAGCACTTCCGCTATCTACATCAAGTGGCTGCTCCATCGTGGTTCTTGAATACCATTCCTTTGTACATGTTAAAAAAAGAATCAGCAGAAAATTTTGGATACATGTGTCTGTAGGATCTTGAGGAAACTTACTTGTGTGATCTCCCTGATTATATCGACCTGCAACTCCTCTGAAGTTGGTTCAAGCCTCCATAATATCTGATAATATATCGACCCATAAATTCATAAGCCAAACAGACCCGGTATATCACACCCAAAGGTGGGGTCAGGGGAGGTTGAGATGTAAGCAGATGTCACATGACCTCCACCCCAATGGGTAGAGCCGCTGTGAATAGTGTGGAAAAAAGAACATAAAAAGACATTCGAAAAGGAAGAATTTGAAAACAGAAAGGTAGAGAGAGACCCATAAGTGCATGGTAACCTGGAGAATAACAGTAAGAAAGATAGACAGAGAGACATGCCTGAGAATGCTCTAATTCCTCAAACTTGATAGTGAATTGGGAAGACGTTAAATATTGCCTACCACTGCTTTCCCATCGGCATACACGAGGAAATGTGGAGAGGCAATCCAATAATTTAGGCCTTCCAATAACAATATGCTCATAACACCATACCTGTGGACATATTAGTTTAGATAACGGAATTTTGGAACAACCAACACAGAAGATATGATATTCAGATTCTTTAACTAGGAAGGCAAACCATCTTTCCAACCTCAAAGACAACCTATTGGCATCTGAACCGAGATAATTGTGATTCAACAAGTTTTCTGAATCAAAATATGCAGAGGTGACCCGCAAAGAGTTACGGATGCAAGAAGTTATGTTGTCATTGCAATTGTGGTTGAAGGATGTTCAACTTTCATAATGGTCAGGTTTGTGAGAATATGTGGAACTCCATTAGATTACTCTACAAAAGAGCTCTTGAGAAGAGAAGAAAAGTTCCAACATATATAGTGAAGAAATGGTCCAAGTCTAGCCGATGAAAGACTCTAACATGCCCCCTCCAATAGAGGCTAAACAAACATAGATTGTCCCACATGTTGGGTTCGAGTATGCGCGTTATTGTTGTATTCAAGTTCTCCATATTTTACATGTTTAATAATAGTGTAGTTTTATTCCTTTCTTAGTATAAACAGTAATTTCCTTTGTAATTGTCATTAAGCAAGTCATTAGCAATTGTAATCTGAAATTAGCCTTGTAATTTCTCTCTCAATCAATCAAGAGACTTTTGGTGATCTACTCTCTCTTCATCTTATTTCTTGAAGATCTTAATCATGTTTGTATGATTTTGGGAATCACAATTAGTATCAGAGCAGACTGCAGCAGTTTTTGATTAGAGGATTAAACAAATTTGCACGAATTTGCACGAAATTTAGAGGATTTTCGATCTGAATCTTCATCTGTTCATATATGTTTTTCGTCCAGGATCTGTTTTTGATCATATTTTGGTTGAATTTTGATTGTTAATTGATACTTATCTGCATCGCTAGATTCGCAATTTGTTTTTGAACAAGTTTGATTCACAATATTTTTTATTTTAAACAAGTTTTGAACCTGATTTGATCGATTTTTGAGTTTTTCAAATACTGTTGAATGTTATTCAAAATTCATAAATTTTCATGTTTTGATCCAAATTTTTGGTAAAAAGTGTGAAATTTGTGTTTTTGGTTGAGTTTTAGTCCGATTAACTCTTAGTCGATTTAGTCTGTTTATTGCTTAAAGCTTGTACGGTTTATACTTGTAAATTTTCTGTGTGAATTGGATTTGATCGGATTAGAATAAACCGGTCAAGTCCTGATCGGTTTAAGAGGTAAATCGTTCGACCCTTGTGCGGATAGTTGAGCGATTTAAATATATCGCTTGGTAAGTTGTTTGTGCTTTGTGCGGATATTTGAGCGATTAAGGAAATCCGCTTAACAGGTTTGTGTGTTGTGCGATTTATTTTGCGATTTACCAGATTAAGGTTGAGCGATTTATTCTTTGATTGAATCTTTTGAATGATCGTACTTTGACTTTGACTTTTTTGGACGGATTTGTGAACGGATTTTGACTTTGTTTTGTGATCGATTTAATTCCTTGACTTTTTAATCAAATTGATTTTAAGCAGACTTATACGTATTTTGACTAGTTGACTTAGTTGACCTTGACTAGTTGACTTGTTGACTTTTTGCGTCCGATTTTCATTTTGGAATTTTGACTAAGTGTTGAAAACTTCCGATTTGAGATTTTTAATCAAAATTGATTTTTGTGCCTTATCCGTATTGATTTTGCATTATCCGTATAATGTTTGCTTAATTGTCAATTTTTTAGCTAAGTGTTGATAAGTGTGCGATTTGTTGTCCGGACTTCTAATCCGGATAACTTTGTTTGTTGAAAAATCTGTTGTCCGGACTTCTAATCCGGATGAGCTTGACCGGATTCCTAATCCGGATAAGCTTGAGTGCTTAATTTTTCTAAGTGTTGAATGAGTGCATATTCATATTTG